AAATGTTTATTTAAAAACTAAATATTTAGTTTTGGATCTAAATGTTTATTTAAAAACTAAATATTTAGTTTTGGATTTAAATCTTTATTTAACAAACTAAATATTTATCTAGCTTGGTGCCAGCTAAATATTTAGTGAAAATGCAAATTCACTTGCCAGAAAGCGTTAATTATCTACCAAAGTAAGACTCTGGGAATCTCTATACCACTCCTATGGCATCTTCGTCACACTGACAGAAAATCACAAGTTAGTATATGACAAAACATAATTAATTCTAAAATAGAAGGTCCTCTTTGAAATAGATTTATTTGGCCAAATACATTTGTTTTCAGAATTAGGCAAATGTTTAATGTTATGTTAAGCCGAGCCACAGAGCTACAGCCATGAACATGGGGCATCCCTGTGTTACCATGGCAACAACAGTTTTTCTTTCAGCTTGGATGAAGGCAAGAAGCCCTCCAATTCGCATTCATTAGCTAGCACCAAGCTAGCTTAATATTTAGCTAAATATATAATTAGCTTGGTGCAAAGTACATATTTAGTTTCTTAAATAAATATTTAATTTGGAGCTAAATATTTATTTAAAAAAATTAATATTTAACAAACTAAATATTTTATTTGCATATTCAATGTTTAGTTTTGTCATGATTGGTTTAATCGATCTGACCCACATGCACAGAACCACTCAGAGGCAGAGGAAAACAGTTTAACAGGTTTATTAAATGTAGATGAATAGCAGAAGCTGGATCTGGAACTCAGTGGACTGGTGAACCGGAACTGGAAAGTCTGAAGGCGAGATCACAGTGATCAGTTCAGGGGCCGTTGGAAATTTGACTGAGGCTGGAATATTACTGGAGGGGGACTCACGCTTGAGGGGGCTCTTGTTAATCCTTGAATTCCAGCTTGTGGGGGTTAATCCGGAGAAGAGGGAACTCGTTGGAGGGCGGACAGACAGACAAGCATTGGACCCAGATGAGTAAAGGAGCGGACTGTCACTTGGATTTCCGAAGAGGACTTGAACGCATCATGTGGAGGTTTTCCCCTGCTCAGTGAGTTTCTCAGTTAATCCTTCCAGGGGGAGAAGGTCCAGGTATCCAGTACTCAGGAAGGCTTCCTGCCGAAGAGCTAAGACAAAAAACTAGATAAGTCTCAGAGGAACAAAGCTTAGGTTAGACTCTGCTAATCTCAGCTTGACTAGAGTACCCAATACTGGCAACCACTCTGGTGTCGAGGTAGTGACAGCCCACTACTCAAATACTCCCCCAGTAATGAACCAACAAGCCGCAGGTGTGCACGGAGGCCCAACGAGGACAGGGCACCACCTGGTGGTGAAGAGAGAAAAACACACAAACAACCCACACAAACTGGATTCCTAACAAGTTTGGAGATATTTGTTTACTTAACAAACAAAACATTTAATTTGCAAACTAAATATTTATTTAACAAAATTAGATTGTCATAAATGAATGAATGACAGTGAAAAAAATGACATGAAAAAAAATAAACCCCTTATTTTTCTTTTAAAACACCATAAATATTGCTCGCAATTTTTGACGGCTTAACGTTACAAACGGCGCCCCATAATAAAGGCAGATTTTCCTTATAAAGATGGCAGCTGTTTAGAACAAAGTG